ACAAAATGAGACTAAACTCAGAAAGCCTAGACTATGGTATAAATAGGCTGGTGAATACAGCCAGAGAGAATAACACCCACAAATAAGATCTTCCAAAGATTAACTTCCTATAAGAAACATTTTTCAATAAGATGGAAAGAAAAAAAAAAACACCTATGGGTCACCACCCCCCATATTTGATTGACAAAATACTTGACAGTTACATCATAGACAAGGGTCTCAGGATGGAAATTTACAGCGTATTACAAGGCCTCCACAAGTAAAAGTCTGATAACCCAATCATAGACTGGACAAAAGACATGGAAAAACGTCACAAATGAAGACATTTGGATGGCCAACAGACACATGAAGAAATGTTCAAAATCACTGTCAATCAGAGAGATTCAAATCAAAGCCACAATGTGATACCATCTCACCCCAGTAGCAATGGCAAAGTGTTCCTGGAAGGCAAACAATTGAAAAGGATGTGGAGAGGTTGGAATTCTCATATACTACTGGTTAAACTGTAATATGGTAAAACCACTTTGGAAGGCAGTTTCCTCAAAAGGTGGAACATAAAAATTCCATTGTTAGGAATATACCCTGACAAAATTAGAATTGAGAGAAAAATGGACATTTGTATACTGATGTTCATAGCAGTGTGTTAGTTACAATGACAAGAACATGGAAACCGTCCAAATATCCATTAAAAAAATAGACTGATAAATTTTTGATACACTCACACAGTGGAATACTATGCAGCACTCAAGAGTAATGATTCCATAAAATACTATATAACAAGGAGGAGGTTAGAGAGCATTATGCTGAGTGAACTAATTCAGTCTCATAAGAACAAATCCTGCATACAACCATTAATGTAAAAATAGAAAGATAATTAGTAAGATATAGATAAAAATTCAGAGGGAAAAAGAAGGCACATGGGCTAGGGGTGGGAAGGAGGTGGACATCACGGGGTTACAGAATTTGGTGTGCAGAAGAGGAGATGAAGGAATTAGGAGAGATCTAGTGGGGACCTGAGAAGATAGGGTGACAGTGGACATAGATCCATGGTGATTAATTTTATAAAACAGTGTGTGAAACACAACGTGAATGAAGAAATGTGATGAAACACAGTGAACATGAATGAGGCACAATGTATTTGAAGTTTATATTGCATATAAAATATTCAATATAAAAATTTTAAAACTGTACCTATATGCAGTTTCATGACAAATGGGCAAAAGATTGAAATTGCCAAGGATTATACAGTATTTGGACACATAGACAATAACTGTGGAAGCAAAATCTAAGAAATTAAGTGAAGCATTTTATTCAGAAATCTGCTATAGACTACCACATTTTATAGGCTTAAAAAGCCAATATGTAGTTTTAAAGAATAAGGTGTGTCAACTTAAAAACCAAAAACCAATATAACAAACCAGTAACAAAATCTCATTGGTGTTGAATCTGAGCTGACTCATAGCTAACTGTCCAGTGTGTTTTAAGAAGCTGTAAATCACACAGGAAGAGAGCGCTCCTCTTTCTCGCATGGCACAGCCTTTGAGTTCGCAGTGAAACTGTAAGCACTACACTATTAGACTTTCCTTTTCAAGTACATGTGAAAGTTGGACAATGAGTGAGAGAGATGGATAAGAATTGGAGCCATTGCATTGTGGCATTGGAGAAGAATACAGAACATGTCATGGACTGATGAAAAACAAACAAACAAACAAACAAACAAACAAACAAACAAATCTGTCTTAGAGGAAATAGAGCCAGAGTTTTCATTGGAAGCTAGAGTGGAGAGACTTTATCTCATGTATTTTGGTATGCCATTTTTGTTGTTCTTAAATTCTGTCCAGTTGACTTCAACTCATAGTGACCCTATGAACAATAGATCTGAAACTTGCCCTATCCTGCCCCATTCTCAACATGTCTAATTTGCTCGAGCCCATTATTATAGTCACTGTGTCAATTCATCTTGTTGAGAGTCTTCCTATGTTTCTCTGATCCTCCAATTTCCCCTGTATGGTGCATTTTTCTAAGGATTAAGGATAGGCAATCTCCTCTCATGGGATTAACTACTTCTGAAAACTCACTGGAGTATCAGCTTTGTTTCAATTCCTACCGTACGGTACTCACAACAATAACAAACTCTCCTGACAACATGCCATGTGTATGAGTTACCATCTTTGCCACTAAGGAGCACCCTGGTTATGTTCTCTTCAAGTCAGATTTGTTTTTTGGTAGTCCATAAGATATTCAACACTTCTCTCCAACAATACAATTCGAAGGGATCAATTATTTTTGAGTCCATGTTCCAACTTTCAGGAGCATAGTAAGCAACTGAAAAAAACATGGCTTGTGTCAGGTACATCTTTAAACCTCTTTAGCACTTTAAAGAAGTCCTTGACAACAGGTTTTCCCAATGTAAAATGACTTTTGATTTCTTGACTGTTGTTACTATGGGAATTTATTGTATATTAAGGTAAAATGGAATCATTGACAATTTCAATCTTTTCTCCATCTATCCTAATGTTGTCTATTGGTGAACATGTCTATTGAATGTCTATTGGGTCTAGTCGTGAAGATTTTGCTTTCTTGATCTTGAGATGTAATCCATATTGAAGGCTGTGGTCTTTTATCTTCTGCAACAAGTATTTCAAGTTCTCCTCCTCACTGTCAACAAGCAAGGTTGTGTCATCTGCATAACGTAGGTTGTTGATGATCTTCCTCCAATGATCCTGATGCCACATTCTTTTTCATTGAGTCCAGATTTTCAAAGTAGTTGATTAGCATAGAGATTGAATAGATATGGAGAAAGGATACAACTCTGACCCCATTTTTCCTAATTTTTAAACTATACACTGCTCTCTTGTTCTGTTCTGACAAGTCTCTTAGTCTGTGTAAAGTTGTTAAAAGGTACAAGTGTTCTGAGATCCCCATTTTTCTCGATGTTGTCCATAATTTGTTATGATCCATACAGTCAAATATCTTTGCATAATCAATAAAACACAAGTAGGCATCTTTCTGATGTTCTCTGCTTTCAACCAAGATCAATGCTGATATCAACGACATCAGCACTGATGACCCTTGTGTCACAGTGCCTTCAGAATCCAGTTCGAATTTCAGGCAGTACCCTGTCAATTTTTAAATAATCTTTAGCAAAATTTTACTTGCTTATGATACTAATGCTATTATTTAATGATTTTCACATTCTGTTGGATCATCTTTTTTGGGGGGAATATTATCACGAGGGATCAATTCCTGGAGAAGGACATCTTGTGTGATGAAGTAGAGATTCAGAGTAAAAGTGTAAACTCACCGAGATTGATTATCACAATGGCTGCAGTGAGGGGCTCAACTGAGCAGTGGTATGAGGATAGTGCAGTACCCGGTAGTATTTTCTTCTGTTACACAAAGACTTACTATGGGTTGTAGCCAATGTAATAGAACCTAACATCAGAAACAACAACATGGTTGTTGTAAGGATTATATGAAATGATTGGTGGGAGGGGGGGGAGAGGAGGAAAAAGCAACATGCTAAGAGTCAACAATATGCTCTTAAGAGCAAGATCACACAGTCCTTACCCTGAGTGTGCAGGGCGGATGTTTTCTTCTCACAAGGACACTTTTCTAAGAGAAAAATATTTTGGTCTAGAGAGAAGAATGCTTTGTTCACTAGTTTATTTTTGTCCACTTTGCTCATTTGTTCCTTCATTCACTCAGAGTTTCTTTTGAAGGTCTGTTAGATATCGACTATGAAACCCTGGTGTCACTGCAGGATTAGCACTGAGCTGCCGTGAGGTTTGTGGTTCAAGTCACTCCACAGGAAAAAA